TGGCGAGGGAAAGAAGGGGTCAGAGCATTTCCGGATCCCCGTGATCGTTTTGATAGTTCGAGTCATGTGCCTTTCGTTTCGCGGTTTTATTCAAAATTACTAAGATGCCCTCAGTACTGATGACTATCTTCCGAATCGAATAACTTATTAATTTTATAGAATATAATGTGTTTTCTTAATATACCTTGAGATCACAGTTACCGTTACAATTTTGGAATAATGTATTTAACACGAGAATAAAATACTCACAAAACCATTGTTTTTGTTTAGTATTACAGTTATAGGACTTCAGGACAGCTTATGCATATTTTAATTAATTTTTTTTTTGATTCAATTAAAATTAAACCATCAATGTCGAGACTAAATAATTCGTTATTCAAGTATTTATATGGAGACATAAATATTTTCTAACTACTAAAACTATTCAGGGCTCATCACATTGCAAAAGGAGAAATTACTAAAATATAAATCCTTTTTGAAAAGGGATTTACAACTTTTTAAATTCAAAATTTAAAGTACTAAAAGGCCAAATAATAAACAAAACGAAATTTATAATTTTTTATAATCAAATTATAATTTTTTGGGATATAAGTTATATTTACAAAAGGCATCATCGATCATAAAATTTTATAATTCATCATAAAAATTATAAATTTTAAATATAAATGTACAACTTTTAAAATATAATAATGAACTGAAATGTGAAAAATACCATTGAAAAACAAAGTAACAAGTAGGCTAAATTTAGAAGATGAAACAAGTATTATACTTAACATTAAATAAAACCGGTAAAAGATCACCATAGTGATGGTTTACAGGAAAAACAAAGTTACTTGGGTGTAAGAATAAGTGAGTATAAGGTAGGTTGACTCAGTGTAGAACTTAGCTTGATTTTTATTATTTTTAGATATAACTTTTAACTGTTGAAGTCATCTTTTCCGACCATGACGGTAATCATAATCTTGTCCTCTTGAATCGTTTATAACTGACAACTCATGATATCACGTCTTCTCTTTTTTTAAAATTCCTAAAATTCTACTCCCCCTAATTACTCTGTCAATCATGGACCCTTACAAACTTTTTTATAATTGTTTAATTTTTTGTGTCATCTTCTCATTTTATTATTTTTGAGTATAAAACAAATTCACATCATTTTAAGATGAAATTATAACTAATTAGAGAATATTTATGATGGATCATAAATTATTTTAAGCAATNAATAATGTATTTAACACGAGAATAAAATACTCACAAAACCATTGTTTTTGTTTAGTATTACAGTTATAGGACTTCAGGACAGCTTATGCATATTTTAATTAATTTTTTTTTTGATTCAATTAAAATTAAACCATCAATGTCGAGACTAAATAATTCGTTATTCAAGTATTTATATGGAGACATAAATATTTTCTAACTACTAAAACTATTCAGGGCTCATCACATTGCAAAAGGAGAAATTACTAAAATATAAATCCTTTTTGAAAAGGGATTTACAACTTTTTAAATTCAAAATTTAAAGTACTAAAAGGCCAAATAATAAACAAAACGAAATTTATAATTTTTTATAATCAAATTATAATTTTTTGGGATATAAGTTATATTTACAAAAGGCATCATCGATCATAAAATTTTATAATTCATCATAAAAATTATAAATTTTAAATATAAATGTACAACTTTTAAAATATAATAATGAACTGAAATGTGAAAAATACCATTGAAAAACAAAGTAACAAGTAGGCTAAATTTAGAAGATGAAACAAGTATTATACTTAACATTAAATAAAACCGGTAAAAGATCACCATAGTGATGGTTTACAGGAAAAACAAAGTTACTTGGGTGTAAGAATAAGTGAGTATAAGGTAGGTTGACTCAGTGTAGAACTTAGCTTGATTTTTATTATTTTTAGATATAACTTTTAACTGTTGAAGTCATCTTTTCCGACCATGACGGTAATCATAATCTTGTCCTCTTGAATCGTTTATAACTGACAACTCATGATATCACGTCTTCTCTTTTTTTAAAATTCCTAAAATTCTACTCCCCCTAATTACTCTGTCAATCATGGACCCTTACAAACTTTTTTATAATTGTTTAATTTTTTGTGTCATCTTCTCATTTTATTATTTTTGAGTATAAAACAAATTCACATCATTTTAAGATGAAATTATAACTAATTAGAGAATATTTATGATGGATCATAAATTATTTTAAGCAATTGTAATTTATCTTTTAAAAAATAATTTTAAGTAAGATACCCAAAAAAAAAAAAAAATACCCTTCCAAAAATATCTAATCGTTTGTGAAGACTAAAATGGTGGTCTATTATGTGACTTCTCGAAACTATGCTTTTCCGCACTTTTCTCACGTGTCGGGGACTTGTAACAGTGCCTCACATTTGAAACATGGGACCAAAGTTGTACGAATTAGTGCAGGGGCGGGACAATTTAATTTGGGCCTAGAGACTTTATAAATATTTATTTACTAATAAAATAAAATTAAATAGTTATTAAAATATATTTATTTATAAGTTATTTGTTTTAACTTTTGAGATATAACATATTAATTCAAATTTTTAATTCAAACTTTACAAATAAAAATTGTGTTAATCGAAGGCAAATACAAAAATTAAATATAATAATGCATACTATTTGTTTAATATAAAAGAGAAACATAATTGAAAATTAGGTTTACTAGTAAAATCATTTTTTATAAATGTATATAAAAATAAGAATATATACAAGTCGAGTAGTCCTAAAATAAATGAGATGTTGTTCCATATCATAGAGAAAAAGAGCAATTTTCAAATAAAAAATTTTAGTAAGACAACTATGGTTAATTAATTTAAGATATCTAATGTATTACTTCTACTCACTCTATTTTATAGTCAGTTTATGCATCGTAAACAAATTTATTAAAAAATGATCTCAAATTTAACTTATACAAATATAAAATTATAATTCGTACCTATTATACGATAGATAATTAATTTTAATAATAAGACTGTAAAGTAATAATACATATAATATAAATATCCGGTAAGATAAAAAAATAAGTTGAACTTTAAGGCTCTAAATTTTTTAAAAAGCAGTTCTAAAAATTTTATAATAATACTAGTTGCACTTAATTTGAGGATTAAGTACATTAGATAAATAATAATTTTTGTTTAAACTTAGCACTAACTAGTAATTCAATAATTAAAATTTATTAAGTATTTAAATTATATTTTAAAATAATTATTATTTATTTTATTTTGGGGCCTCAATTTTTTCTTTCAATTTGAAGACTTAGGCAATGGCTTAAGTGGCTTAAAAGTTGGGTGGCACTGGATTAGTGGAACTTAACACCTAATAAAGATGGTTTGAATAGTGGGATAAAAAAGATTAAAAAGTATATTGAATTGTAGAAAATTGAACTCGACTCCACTTATCCCATGTTTGTGATGCAAAAGTTGTACCCATCAATTATAGGTGGTTTTCTTCTCTAATCTATCTAGGGGGTGGGTTAAATGCGAAGAGACTATTGTGTGTTTTTATTTTTTAAAAAATTAGATTGTTTAACGGATATAATGGTAAAATTTAATAAAAAATTTTCAAATCATGAAATAATCCGTAGACCCCATAAAAATATAAATGTATTTGTCAAATATGTCATTTTTGCCCTAGCATGGGGTATATTTTTGGGGAAAAAATTGAAAAAAAAAGGCGCATTTTTACTATTTAAAAATATTTAGAATCTTTTTGAGGAGATAATGTGAAAATTATTAAATCTTTTAAGGTTGTAATTGATAAGTATTTGAATGAAAAGACACTTTGATATTGAAAAATAGATTTTGAGTGAACTAGAAAATTCTTTGTATAGCTATCAGAATTCTTTTTATCTGAATAATGGATCTAAGAGTGACAATCCTTGCTATGATCATTGCATGTATACTACTTAATATAGTTGAAATAATCAAATTAATAGTTATCTTTAACTTCAAATATTTGAGTGACAACGATAATTATATTTACAGTTTCATTTGTGGTGAAAGTAGAAATAATAGTGAAAATGAGAGTTTCAATATAAAAACCAGTACAAATGGTACTGATTTAATTATAAGAGAAAGTTTCAATGATCTCAATGTAACTAAAAAAATCTAAGCATTTGTAGCTTTAATATGAAAAATGTTATGAATTAAATATAATAAAAAATAAAAATTTATAAAACAATACGGATATCATTTGAGAGTGAAAAGTTCGGATACAATTGAACTTTTTACATGGTCTTTTCTAGATCCAATGTTTCGTAATCTACAATCAAAGAAAAATTCGAGAAAGATGTGTTGAATAGGTTTTGAATTCATTTTTTCTATGGTTTTGAGAAACGAGACCATTCTATTCAAATTGTACTTTGGAATCATACTTGTAAGAATAAGAACAAAAACAAAATCTGCAGTGAAAAAACAGTGTGGGGGTTGAATTGGAATTGAACAAAAAAATTGTGAAATTTAATGAAGTTGGTTTACAAATGTTTTTCTATCCAAAAGAGTCTCTACCAATGACACCCTATCCTATCTTATCCTATCTTCTTCTTGAACTTATTTAATGGTGTCACCAAAATAGGAAAGCTATTTAATGGGAAGTGAACAAATGGAAGGGCAATTCCGTCTTTTTGCTTCGTGATTAAACTTTGTCCATTTCAAAGAATAGACCTTTCTTGTGGAAGGCGGTGGCCTGGCTTCGGTTGTTCAAACTTGTAGCCTACCACGTACTTAATTACGAAAAGACCCTTTCAACGAATCATAGCGATGCCTTTCTGTAATTCCATCAAAAAATTGAGGCTAAACACATGGCCAAAATGATTAAAAACAAAAACCTATTTATTGCTGAGAATTTGAGAAATTTATGAGTCTCGTTTGCTTGCTATCCGATTCATTCAATTCTCCGAAAGTCCAAACCTCAAAAGCCAACCAATTTTGATTTTTTTTTCTTCATTTTTTTAAGGAAGAAGAAGATATAAAAAAAAAAAAATCTAAGGGCATGTGTATTGACATAAACATAACACACAAACACAAGAAAAATCAAGTACATTTCCCCAACACCTTTCACCTACTTCGTAAGGGAGAGAAAGTGACCGGAAAATCTTCTTAGAATATGCTTGCATGTGGAGACAGACAGAGAAGTGATTGAGAGAGAGAGAGAGACCGAAAGAATTATATTACTTGGTTTTTTGAGGTGTGAGACTGTTTGGTATTGATCCAGCGATCATTGGAGTACAAAGACTTCTGGGTTTTTCTTGCAAAGAATATTTTTTTTATCCGTAAGTCTTAGCGGCTTTGAAAATTTTATTTTCTTTAGTTGATAAATTTTTCATTCCGGATATTTATATGAATCCAATTCTTACCTGGGTGTCTATAGTTTCTTGGGTAATTTCATGTTTTAGGGTTTTGATTCACCCGCAATGAATTTCGAGTTCGTCATTTAGTGTGTAATCGTGCATTCGCTTCGAACTATGTATTGCATATACATGACTTATTTCTTTTTGCTTTTCTGAAGTCTTAGTTGTCATATCAGTTCAATTCTCTTTTGGGTTTCATTATTTTCCAATTTCTTGATGGAAAGTCAAGTCTTTGGGGTTTTAATTCGCCTACACTGATTGAATTTGGATTCAAGTGCAGTTTTTGTGCATGATAATGTCTTGATTTCGAATATTCTCTTGCATGCAGATTTCGCATAGAAGAAATGCAAGAAATCAATATCTTGGCTGTTTTGTAGAATAATTCATGCTGATTGAGAGTATCTGATGGTTGACCAATTGATTGTTTTTGAAACATCATTAGGGTTTGTGGAAACTTTTCATTTTTGAAGTAGTTCTTGGTAGATAGATGAGATGAATGTGGTTGGCAGAGTTGGGAGCATTATATCGCAAGGTGTATACTCTGCTGCCACCCCATTTCATCCGTTCGGTGGGGCGGTTGACATAATTGTTGTCCAGCAGCAGGATGGGACATTCCGTAGTACCCCTTGGTATGTTCGATTTGGTAAGTTTCAGGGTGTCCTAAAAGGGGCGGAAAAAATTGTCCGAATAGAAGTTAATGGCATTGAAGCCAATTTCCATATGTATCTTGATAATTCAGGTGAAGCCTACTTCATCAGGGAGGTCGATTCGAATAAAGACAGTAGAGAAAAGGAGGGTTTAAGAGGTTCTGAGGGGCTAGAGGATAGTGGTGTTGATTATGATAGCAACGATGATAGTAGAAAAGATCATGTTGAGGATGGTGTTTGTAGTACTGGTAAGGTCCAATTGCAAGATGAACGCAAGCCTTTGGGTATGAATCGATTGGAAAGGACGGGATCTGATAGTGAACGGAGGTTCTATGAGTTTCAAGATGAACAATCTTCTCTTGAGGGTTTAGTTGAGTTATCGGAATATGGGTCTAGTGGGTATGACAATTTAGATAGTGTGGAACATATGATAGAATCACAGGATTCAAATGCAGAAGTGGTTTTGGTAAGTGTTGATGGTCACATACTGACAGCACCCATTTCTTCATCGGAGGGGAATACTGAGAATGTGCAATTAAGCACACCTCAGTTTCACCTTGGCCCAGGTGAAGGGACTGATTTTTGTGAAGGCAATGTGGAGTTCAGCACTACTGAAACAGTATGGGCTGCTAATTATTTTAGTGATTTGGATGCATCTACACCTAAATTTGTCTCTGAAAATGTTTGCGACACAAACAATAATAGTAATGCTTTAGAACACCAGTTGAAAGTTTCTGAAGGAGATGGAGAGCATGCCTTTAAAGTTCAAGAAAATCAGAAGGCAGCAAGCCAGGAAAGAGAATTTTGTGTGGATAGCACTTCAGAAGATGCATCTCCTAATGTTAAGAAGGAAGATGTTTTTAAGAGCTGTTTGGAGTTATCTGAATTAGCCTTGCATGTCGCAAACACAAATCAGCAAGGCATAGGTTCCTTGTTGGAGAATCATAAAGAGGTTGAAGGTTCTGAGGACCAGAGCCTTTCAGCAAGCGATGAAGGTGTTGGTGAATTGAAAAATGATAATGGGCTATCTTCTTCTAACTCTCATGTTCCCAGCAGCATGCTTTCTTCAGATTTACAGGTTGAAGTTGAACTGGGTGCAGATTGTAATGGTTCCCACCACAGTCCTGTTCATTCTGCTTGTAATGATGAAAAACCAGAGGAGCAGATTGGTGTAGTAGAAGTGTCTGATGGGTTGCAAAGTAGCCCACAAAGACATGGTACGGATGATCGATGCAGTAATAGTGAGACTGTGCAACCTCAGACAACCACCTCTGTTAAAGGTAGAGAAACCGAATCAGGCATAAATAAGGGCTTTCATCTGGCTTTGATTTAGTTTGGACTCTTTTACTTTTGTTTGATTCTCAAAACTAGTTACTTTTTTTTTTTTCATTTAACTTATGCTTGCAGCGCTTGAAATATCTCTTTGTGGGAATTTGCTTCGTGTTGGTATGGGTTTGAGTGCGGCTGCTGAAACCTTTGATGCACACCGTGTATCTGAGGAGGAATTCAAACTATCTGCAGCTTCCATTATAAAGAATGAACAACTAATTGTCAGATTTCAAGGGAGATATTTGCCATGGGATAAAGCTGCTCCTGCTGTTCTTGGAATGGCTGCATATGATCTTGATCTACCAGTTGGACCTGACGATGCAATTCCTGTGGAACAGGATCAGATCTCGAAATCCAGGGAAGATAATTCGGGAATCACTTCCACTCCTTCTGGACGCAGATGGAGGCTCTGGCCAATTGCATTCAGAAGGGTCAAAAAACTTGAGCATTCCAGCAGTAACGCATCTAGTGATGAGGTGTTTTTAGATTCTGAATCCACACTGAACCAACCTGCAGAACCATCTCTAACATCCTATGGTGGCAGTGAGTCTCCTCACAAGCAGCTTTTGAGGACAAATGTTCCCACTATTGAGCAAATAGCATCTTTGAATCTGAAAGAGGGGCAGAATGTTGTGAACTTTAGTTTCTCTACTAGGGTCCTAGGAATGCAGGTAGAAGCACAGGTAGAAGCTCATATATATTTATGGAGGTGGAATGCAAGAATTGTGATTTCAGATGTTGATGGGACAATTACCAGGTAAGATTTGTGGATTTCTTGTATGGACTAAGCTGCAAAATATGGTAGTCACCCCTACAAGGTAGATGTCAATTGTAAAGCAAGGGGTAGATGTTGACCGAAATCATCTATATAAAAAAATATATTATATTCTTGCGACTTAACTGAAAATATGATCGTTGATAAAGTGTAATGGCGGAATGGAATCATGTAATGACCAGATATAGTTGAGACAAAGCTCACTCGAGTTGAGTTGATGATGAGATTTGATAAAAACTAATGGAAAATTATGAAGGGCGGAATAATGATATTCCAGTTCTCACTTTAGCATGGAAGTGAAATATATCATGTTCTGAGTTGTGGAAGTGGCAAAGAATATTTCTATTTTTCTTGTAGTGGTATTCATATTCTTTCCACTCTTCAGAACCATGGACAATATAGGTGAGGCAAGGATTGTATAATTAGCAAACTCAAATCATGACGTCCCATATGATCCATTATTTGAGGTCATCTGGGAACAAATTACATTAAAAGAAAAGACACATCATTGTTAAATTAGTAGTTTTGAAGCAGGTATGACAGTTGTTAGTGACAGTGGCTTGGCTCAGATAAATTACTAATTAAATTAGATTAACTTTGCTATAGTAACTCAGTTAAATGTGCTTGTTTCTAGGTCTGATGTTCTTGGTCAGTTCATGCCCCTGGTTGGAAAGGACTGGACACATTCTGGAATAGCTCGTCTTTTCTCTGCAATTAAGGTATTTACTTGATCTGTCTTATTTTATTAGCTTTTGATTCATCATAGACCTTGGGCCTTGTTTGCTGTTAGGAGAAACTAGATCTATATTTTAGGTTGAGTGGTTGCAGCCCAATCAGTCTAGTTGTCTTTTGATTAGCAAATAGTAGAAATCTCCTTTCTGAAGGAAAGTGGCTTATTTGTTAGAGTTGGAGGGTGCTTTCTGGGAAAGAGTCTGGTTTCCACCTTTCATCTCTTTTCGTGAAACTATTTTACCAGCATAGCATGATGACATCATAATCAGGGGTGAACCCGTTAGGATCCAGACCCCCAGGTTTTGTGGACATCTCTTAGCCTCAATGTTTTTTTGGGTATACTTCTGATTCGGCTCATCTATTTCACTATTCTATTTATCATTTTATTTAATGAAGCTTCATGAATTATTGTGAATCTTAAAATACCATTATCCATAACAATTAGCATGCCATTTTGTGACAATTTACTGTAAATTGGATTTACAAATAGCACCACAACAGTTCATTGTTGAAGAATATATCTTAATGTGTGTAAACTCCTCAAATCCCTCGAGCCATACAAAACAAAATTTGAAAACTTAGAAGATCTTTTGGAATGACAGTGTCATGATAATGAAATCTTTAAGTGAGATTAACAATCAAACAGTCACATTTTAGATTAACTTGGTCTGTTGCCTCCCCGATCGAATCAATTGTTTGACCTTGGTTGAATGATGACATTACTAGGGCACATGTTGATTACATCAAAGCCACAAGACAAAGTAGAAAAATATGATTCTTTCTCTTTCTTCTCTTCTTTTCCTTCAATGTTTCAATAGACTATCAAAAAAAATCAGACCATTGTCTTAGAAAGCATTAAAGGCTGAAGGCTGTTTATGGTTTTAAAACACACATTATACTTGGTTTGATTTTGAGCTCCTTTGGGCTCATTCATCAAGTCAGTGAGTTGAGGTTGAGTTTTATTTTCTAGCTCATGCACGAATCAACCCTGAACAAGGCTCAGCTCAGCTAATCAGGTTATGAACATGTGATAACATCAATAGTCATTTGTTAGATTCAAAATTATTTGGAATAATCAATTACTCAATGATGTTCTAGAATAATATTGAGGACCTGAGGTATGACCAATTTACCTCATAATATCGCAGCTCACTTTACCTGACATGTCTATGTCAAACATTTCCCCCTCTATTTAAATCAACCATTTTGATTCAAACCAATGAATTCTGACAAGTGGTGGGCTGATCTAATGCATGGGCATGTTAACTGAGGTAAGCCTAAGCGGCTTAGAAGAGCTATCTGGCTCAAGTTGCCTCCCTTGCGCTCTATCGAGTTCGAATTGAGATCGAACAGCTTCAACCTTAACTGAGTGGAGCTGGAACAAGTTGCAACTTGTCTTAGCTGGGCTTGGTTACAGCGTTGCTTTACTGGATCTTTTCATTACTAAATCTGACTATGATAAGTAAAATAGTTAGACCATCATTATATGTATATACTTCCTTCAGGGTATGGCCTGGTTGATAAATAGTTGTTATGGCAGCTTGGTTATCAAATATATTGTGGAAGATTTACTAATGAAATTGGCATTTCTTATCCAAAAAAGTAATATTGTCAAAGCTTATAATTTTGAGTTATGCTTGCACACTTTAGTTACAGTTGTATATTTGTTCATTAAATTAGTATTAAATATTAATGGATTTTTTACTGCAGGAGAATGGATATCATCTACTGTTTCTGAGTGCACGTGCAATTGTTCAAGCATATCTAACAAGGAGTTTTCTAGTCAATCTCAAGCAGGTAATACTACGCCCTGCTTATCCTTATGCTTCAGCATATAATTTACTACATTGTTTGTGTTAGACCTTGGTTCCCTTAATAATTGGCAACTGAAAGTGTTAAACTATCAAATGAACCAATCAGTCAGGTTTTCCTAGCTTGGTAAGTGAGTAATGGCTGGAATATATAATTTCAAATTGACTTAACTATAAACTTATCTCTGTACAGTTGTTTTGGTCGTTATGCTACATGTAGAATAACTTTTAGATGACTATTTTTTGCATTGGCTTCCTGCAAATATAGCCCATTAAGGTTCTTTATGGTTTATTAGTGGTGCAATTGGTATCTGCTCCTGCTTCTTGCTATTCTTGAGGGCGACTGACATGCTGATAAGGATTGCATTAGCTGAATCATTAACTTATTTGAGTGCTTGCAGGATGGAAAAGCTTTACCCAGTGGACCTGTTGTAATTTCACCTGATGGTTTATTTCCCTCATTGTACCGAGAAGGTGATGTATTATTCTTTGGAGGATTATTTGTTGCCTCTAATCTGCTTGGAAGTGCTTTAGCCCATACTACTAGATCATGCGTAACATTTGTATATGCTTCTTCAAACATGCAATGGATCAACTTAGAGAGATACAACGATGCTTGAGACATATATGATATGTGTTAAAATGCAGACATCTTACTGTTATTTGAAGGAACTTCATTTGCTTCTATGCTGGCTTTGAACCTTCTTCTGTATTACGTGTTCACTGATGATAAGTTTGTGTACAGACATGTAGATTTATTTCTGAAAATTCACCAAATGTAGAATAAGAGTCACTTGGATGTTCTTTTTCATTAAGCCTGATCCTATTATGGCCTCTGATTCTGAATTGTGCGAATCCAAATTATATATTTTCTTCATCTCTTTCATTCACTTTGAGGAGAGAGAGGGACTAGAAACCATTGAAGTAGTTGGAGTTTTACCCAAATAGTGGAGGGTATTGCTCTCTGTAGCTACTTCCACCCTATTATTTCTTAATTGCCACTCTCCTCCCTTTTCTGTGTTGAATAGATATAACTCAAGTAATAATGATATATACGAACAATTGATTGAATAATTGACCATGATTGCTTCCCCTTATTTACTACTATTTTTTTTTTGAACCGGCACTCATTTACTAGTCAATTACTGATGAAAGAAGTACTTCCAGCTTGTGTTATACATGCACATTCCCTTAAATTTTATGTGGTGACATGTGGAAAGGTCTTGTGCATTAAGCCTCTCATACATGATGAGACATTCCACGAATCTCTTCAACTTGTTTTCTCAAATTTCTAGCACAAGTAATTTTATGCACCATGCTTTTCCCAAGAATAAGTTGACTTTTCAGTTTATCTCTGATGGTATATAAATTTTGTTCCTTCATGGCAGTCATAAGACGAGCACCTCACGAATTCAAGATCGCTTGTTTAGAGGTAAACGAAACAATCTTACCATTCCTTGTGATCTCCCCATTTCTCCTTTCTCCTGTTGGGGTGATTTGCCCATTTTAACTAAGAGTATGCCATGCAGGATATTAAAGCACTTTTTCCTTCTGATTACAATCCTTTCTATGCGGGTTTTGGGAACAGAGACACCGATGAGCTTAGTTACCGAAGAATTGGAATCCCAAAGGGCAAAATCTTTATTATTAACCCCAAGGTATTCATCGTCCACTAACATGTTTTCGTTCAACAATCTAGGATTGCAAGATTTTTTTTTAATTTCTTTTCTTTCTCCCATTAACTTCATTTAAATTTACAGGGCGAGGTAGCCATTAATCATCTCATTGATGTGAAGTCATACACGTCGTTACACACTCTTGTAGACGACATGTTCCCACCAACGTCACTGCTTGAACAGGTAATAAAAATAAAGCAAGAACCCCCACCCAAAAAAAAAAAATTTCCCCCTCACTTTTTCCCGATGGTTGATTCTTAGTCTATCCTCTGATGACATTCTGCATATTCAATGTCCTTGCAGGAAGATTACAATTCATGGAACTATTGGAGAATGCCGTTGCCAGATATTGATAGTTTATAGAAATTGCTATGATCTGGGATGCTCGACTGATTATATCGACACGCCACATTGGGCTGCCGGGTTTCACTGTTTCTTCCACCTTCTCTCACTGATTTGAAACTGTAAACAATTAAATGTACTCTTAAGCAATTCATTGTATGCAAAACTGGATTATAAATTTCTCTTACCGAATAAAAAAATATCAATGGCTTACTTGATTTTATTTTATGTCAATCTGATTACTATAATATTATTTCTTGGGCAGTCATCCAATTTCTTCTTGTTGAAGATAGAAATAAAATAAAAATCTAGAGTTCTTTAAGGTGTAAATATGGTTTTGTACTTGAGGTCAAATTGGTCAATTTTGATTGATAGAATTGTCGGATAATTTTTTTTTTTTTAACGGCAAAGAGTATTTGAGTTAATTTATATACATTTTGATTAATTTTTTCTTTAGTCCGGTTAAAAATAAATTATTTATGCCGGAATTAGGATATTCATAAAGTTCAAATTTTTCCTGACTTGACTTTAATGGAATTGTTAAAATTTAAATTGAATGTTTGACTTCACAATTTTATCTCTGGTATTGCCAAGCTAAGTTTGGGCGTTAGGAAGCTCGATTGTTTCTATATCTTCATAATTACTCTAATACTTTGTTTGGTAGGAACGATGGAAAGTAAAAGATGATACATTTTCTATCATTCAAGAAAGGAAAGTAAGAATTATATATATATTTTTTTTGTGTTTGGTTGGATGGATGAAAAATAAAAATGACTAATTTTTTTTTTTTTGGGCTAAGATTAGGGTGACAATCGAGTTGTATCGTGTCAAATTCGTGTTGAGTTATTACAGGTTTGTGTCGAACATTAATCAAACCTATCTCAACTCATTTAATTAATTGTGTCGTGTCAAGTTGTGAGTTGACCTGTTTATTTTCGCGTCATGTTCACGTTCGTATTTGTGTTGATCCACAAATTTTGAATAAAAAACTTAACGCTAATATTCTATTTTCACTTAATTGAATTCATGTTAATATTTTTTCTACAAACTACAAATTAACTTAAATAAATATAATAATAATATAATAATTATGTCAATCCTTAATAAATAGTTACAAATAAGTAATATTTTATGTCTATAATACTAATTAAACATGTTAGTTTCGTGTTATCATACAAACAAAAAAATAGAAAATATGTTTATTTTTAAATAAACGAGTTGATGGTGTTAATTTTGAGTTTGACTGATTGAACTGAATATGAGTCTTTTATAATTTCTTATTCGCGTGTCAGGTTATTTTCAAGTTCGTGTCGAGTTATAATCAAGTTCGTGTCATAAAATTCGTATTGAGTTCGAGTCGTGTCATCATGTTGAGTCAAAAATTTTACCCCTAATTAAAATTAAGGGTGTTAATCTAGTTGAATTTGAGCTGAAATCGAGCTAAATTTACACATAAACGAGCTTGCTCGTTTGACTATTTACACATAAACGAGTTTTAAAAAAATGTTCAAGCTTGACTTGTTTAACAGCCCTAGTTAAAATGAAAAAAATATTTTTTTTTAATTTAAATTTTTTGTTTTTATTTTTTTTAAAAGAAATATATATAAATATATGTTTTATTATTGTATTTTTATATGAAATTAATGTATATATAATATATGTATATATTGACAAATAAGATACATCTCAGCATAAATAATTAATTTTTTATCCACTTTTTTTTCGATTTTGGAGGGAATTATTTTAGTGAGTTGGAAGGAAAGTTAATCCATCAACTTTTTCATCCTTCCTATTTTCCTTCCTTACCAAATATGATGTTTTATTTATCCCTTCAATTTTTTATTCTTCCAACTTTCTATTCTTCCATCATATCAAACGAAGCATAAAAATTATTATGATTCAAATTTAGAACGTTTTACTTTACAGTTTATTTCTGTTATCACTTGTGCTATTTAAGATTATTTGTAACATAATTTACATCCAAATGCCAAGCTAAGTTTCAGCGTTAGAATGCTCAATTGTTTCTAAAACTTCATAACTACTACTCTTAAGGTGTCGTTTAGTAAGTTTAATTATTTAGGATCAAAACAAATGTAATTTGGACGATATTACTCTTATTCTAATGATTTTTGATTTCATATAAGAGTACATTAGTGATTTTAATTTCAATCTCAATCCACCCAATTGAATAACATCTCCTCCTCCGTGGGTTTCAATAACAACGTATGTATAGATTAATAAGTAATGTTATTTGGATTTAAAAATTTGACTTAATTTGTTGACATAATAATATGACTTAATAGGAATCATTGGATCAACACCAAGTTCCAATGTTTGATGGGGCCTACAGCCAATCCAAAGGTCTCAATGAATCAGGTTAGCAAATTAAGTCACATTTTTAAGTCTCAATAACATTGCTCTAGATTAATTTGTAATGATGGTTGTGATTTCAAATTTATAGTCGTATCGAAAAAAAATATTGCCAAATATGAAATTTGTAGGCCACCGAGTTTATTTTACTCGATCTCAACTAAATATTCCCCAATCCAGCCAACCATACAATCGCTACAAATGCAAATGAATTGAATTGAATTGAGAATTAAATTGTTCAAAAAGATTGAGCACTAAATTGTTTAGGTGGTTTCAATAATTCACATGAATGTTGGGGATTGATTTAATATTTTGTGATGATCTTCCAACATTTTTATTTCATTAAAGTGGAAATAAGATTAACAAGAAGTTACCAAAAGCAACCTTAAACTACCAAACACAACCTTAAACTTTGTCTTCAATTTCTTGTTCCAAGTGTTAATACGATTAGCAGATGAGGGGTTTCATTCTCCAGTGTTTACCCAGATCCAACCAACTTCCCAAAAGGGCAATTTCGGTATATCACCGTAAGAGTCACCTCGTAGAAATCACTCAATCCCACTACGTTTTCATTTCCTTACCCGTCAAAGTCTTTGCCTTTCGCGTGTGCGAACTGCGAAGCGTTCTTTCAGATCTCGCAATTGGCTCCTCGCCAAAAATCAACTTCAACCACCACAAACCAACGTCCGCTACCAAACTCCGCCACCAAAATGTCGAAACGACCACCCCTCTTCTTCCTCCTCCTCCTCCTCCTCGTTCTCAGCCTCCTGTCCCTCACCACAGCTGAGATCAAGACCCTGAAGATCACCTCCGACGCACGCCCCATGATCTTGTTCGAGAAATTTGGATTCACCCACTCCGGCCACGTCTCTATTGCTCTCTCCTCCGTCTCCGTCATCTCATCTCTCTCCACCCCCGATCCTTCTCGCCTCGCCTTCTTCCTCCTCTCTGAAGAATCGTACATCCAAGTCCTCCTTGAACTTCAACAAAACCCTAGCTTCTGCGTTATCGATTCCAAATTCATCCAGCTCCTCTTTACTTTTCGTGATCTCTCTCCTCCTCCCCACTCCACCTTCGACCAATCGTACCCCGTTACAGCCCCCAATGAATACTCCCTCTTCTTCGCCAATTGCGCCCCCGGATCTCAAGTCACCATGGACGTCCGTACAGAGCTCTACAATCTCGATTCCGGCTCCTTCAAGGACTATCTCTCTGCCGGGTTGACTCAGCTCCCAACTCTGTATTTCCTTTTCTTCCTTATATATTTATCTTTTCTGGGATTTTGGTTTTACTATTGTTATCATAACAAGAGATCCGTGCATCGGATCCATTTGCTCATGGCCCTATTGGTTTTAATGAAAGCTTTGAATTTGATCTGTGCGGCCGAGGATAAACATTATGTTAAGGTCACTGGTACGGCCCACGGATGGGACGTACTGTTTTACATATTTCAGTTCATTAGGGTTGTGCTCTTGTTTACGGTGATTGTGTTGATTGGGACTGGGTGGTCGTTTTTGAAACCCTTTTTGCAAGAGAAGGAGAAGAAAGTGTTGATGATAGTGATTCCGTTACAGGTTTTGGCCAATGTGGCTTCCATTGTTATCGGGGAAACGGGTCCGTTTATAAAAGATTGGGTGACTTGGAATCAGGTGTTTTTATTGGTGGATATTGTGTGTTGTTGCGCAATTATTTTCCCAATAGTGTGGTCAATTAGATCGTTGAGGGAGACATCGAAGACAGATGGTAAGGCTGCAAGAAATTTGGCTAAGCTGACTTTGTTCAGGCAGTTCTATATTGTGGTGATTGGGTACTTGTATTTTACGAGGATCGTTGTGTTTGCTTTGAGGACAATCGCTGCATATAAGTATCAGTGGGTGGCATATGCAGCGGAGGAGATAGCAAGTCTTGCATTTTATGTAGTGATGTTTTATATGTTCAGGCCAGTTGAAAAGAATGAGTATTTTGTTATTGATGAGGAGGAAGAGGAGGCGGCAGAGTTGGCCCTCCGGGATGAGGAATTTGAGCTTTAAGATGCTTAGAGAAAATACTTTGCTGCTTACTGAGATACACTGTGAGTTGTTTAGTGAGCTTACAAGTAGTTTTGCCAAAAGAATCTGGATTTGCTGCCCGTGTTATTTTGTTATTCATGTTATAAGAAGTTTTCTATTTTGGAATAGTTTTTGTATTTCTGATTGATGGAATTATCATTTTATTTTGATGCTAATATTCAACTTTGAAAAGTGATTCGAATCTTCTTATTGCTTTTTTTTTTCTTTTAATTCCATCTTTTTGTTCATGTTCTTATGCTTTTGTGGATCCTCACTTTGATACTTGATCGGGTAATCCATGGTCTTTGTGCATATCCCATATTTGCTACTTCCTTCTTGTCATTTGCCTAAATTGTGGCACATGTGTGGTTTGTGACATGCGTTTTAAACCACTGTATTTGTTGAAAACTTGAAGTATAAATATTTAAGTTACACTCTAACAACCTAAATTTTTGGAGTAGATGGTTGTTTAACATGATATTAGAACAGGAGATCTTGTGTTTGAATCTCACCTCCACCCAAGTTATTAAAAGATTTTCCCATTGCTGGGCCTAACATTTAGCTTGCGCATGAGGGATTATGTTGCACTCTCACCAACAACTTAAGTTTTTGGAGTAGATGGTTGTTTAACAATATTTTATGAATAGTAAAACATAATTAACACAATCACAACCATTATTACAAGTGTGTTTGAAATGTTTTGAGTGTTTGTCTAAGGAGTTCTTGGGCAGCGGGGTTTAAAGCTTTCTTATCTTGTTACAAGATCAAGGTATAATAAATACCGATTTGCAGCATGATAATATTTCGGCAAATAAAGAAATATATATCATTGCATAAACAGATATTACTTTTGAAATAACTGCGGGTTGATTCTTGTTTTTATTTTTACTATGTCCATGTACAATCCTTTTCGTTATTGTTGATAGATAGGATGCTTGGTGCCATAAACAAACCCAAAGAGTAAGCACATTAGGAAACATTCTTGAAGCAATTATTGAATGTGCTTTAATGTTCCTTTTAAAGAGAAATGAGTACTGGTAACCCTTGTACCATTTGACTTGTCAATCCCTGATATTTGGTATTCTCATAAAATCAATTTTGCTGTGGTTACTGTGTCTACATACACTGGCAATTTTTTTTGCATCACTTTCACTGGCAAAGAATTGAGCATTGCTAACAATTTTGACTTATTCTACAGATTGATGCCTCAACGGATTTGTCAAGTTCTTTTTCCCTCGGATTATGATAGTTTTGTCTACCAGCAGTTCATCCATGGTTCTAGTTTGTAGAGTTCTTTTTGTTAACACTTCTTAATTTTCTGTTGGATTTTTTCCCCTTAAGAAGGTGGTCTAAGTTCAATGTATGGTAAGAGCTTTCGTGAACAATGCATATGTATACATTGTGATCCTAATTGCTTCAATTTTGCAGAAACTTACCTTAGTAAGTGTTCATGAAGAGAATGACCTTTTTTTTTTTAATTGAAGATGCTATGTTTACTCTATCAGATGTCTAGACAGTAGACATGGTTGACAAATCCATGTGGCTGCCTTGTAAAAGTTGGATATTGAGTAGGGTAACTACGTTAACATCAGTATATCCCTTAGGTACGAAGGAAGTTGATATTGTGAGTTGTCTTAAATGGATAATTTCACATGTTAGGTTTTGATGATAGGGGTGTTTGGTCAGACAAACCCCCAAATCTTAGGAATGAAAACACTGTTCATTGTCAAATGTCTGCTACTTTATAGGTTTTATTTATAGCCAGGTTAAATAAAATCTATGTTGTGGTGTCTGACAGTTGTTACTTTTCATTTCGTTGTCATATGTGTTCTTAGGGAGCTTTTGCTTTGTCAATCACATGTCTTAGGTATATTGTCTGACAGCTGGTTTTAGTGTCAATTGTAAGTTGGTTTTTTCATGCATGTTTAGCTGAGCTTGGAGATGGAAAATTTTAATGCACTGATGTCAGTTTCGATTGGCCATGGAGTGAGAAATATTGGATGTTTAGTTTTGGGAGTGAGACCTTTGCTTTAGGTTTAGTATGGCTGTATGGTGACAATGGCATTTGCTTCAAGTCAAAAGATCACTATTCCCTCATTGTGGTTAAAATTCATCTCAAATGGTCACTTTTCCATGGAGGATGAATGCATAATTTGGTGTGTAGGATTTCTGTGTAATGGTTACTTGCTGAGGAACATAACTGTAAATTGCAAACTGATGATCTTCCTTGAAGCTTAAGATGATTGATGATACCTTGGCAGGCGGTGTAATCTGAGAACTCAGGTATGAACCAGGAAACTAGATCTTGCAGTATAGTCTGTAGGTGATCGAGGGCATTTGGTTTGGGAAGAAAATGATGATCACGATCTAGATTGGTGAAACTATTTTTTTGCCATGGGCATCGGATAACCTGGTTGAGAGAAGGGAAAGAACATGGAGGTTTCATGAACAGTACATTTGGTTTGAATTATTGTGTGTTTTCATAGGTTATTGTTTTCGTGGCTTTCTATGTGTGTGTTTTTTGTGTGTTTTTGCATGTGTTGTGACCCAAACTGGTATATAATCAGTTTATCAGCGAATTGAAAATGAGTTGGAATTGGATTGAACCAAACTGTTATTCACCCATTCATAAGCCGCACAGACCCTCCATTTGCAATGTCTAATTACTCCAATCAATTCCCTGTTGAGTACAGTAAATTGCCGAGGGCTTGTCCTCTCAATTACCGAGGGCTTAGAATCCTACCCTGCTTGACTGCCTGCTTTGAATCTAAAGCATATACTCCTATAAGACTGACAGAAACTTTTGGGTTATTGCTTACTGTCCATAAAAGATACAGAACAACTGAATGAGTGGTTCCCTCTCTTTCGGGTAAGAAGAAGAAGAATCAACTATTGGGAAGACAATATGCGCAGCGGGGAATCCTCTTCATAAAGACCAATGCCAGGACTACTCTAACGCTGGTACTACTTCCCTCAATTACTTTCCTCGCTCTCAATTGCTGGCAAGATAGGGTGTGATCATATCAGTATTAATGCACTGGATTATATCCGAATTCTGCAGTTAAAGTATGCTTGGGCAAACGTAGTATTAAAATTGGTGACCCCCGAAAATCCTTATGTTTGATATTCATCTTGAATCCGAATGGATTTCGGTTTGTAAGGAATCAATTGAGGAGGCCCGAATCCATTAAATTTGTCAATTCTTTCCTCCTTCCTTAGTTCTATGTCCACTCAAATGAAATCATATGTTCTTTGGCTTGCTGTGCCAATGGGTATGGCATACAAATCATGAAGTTGATTTCACCTGTTATGATCATTGCGTGTTTTGCTTGTGTCGGAAGTTTCTTTTAGGCAGCAGAGGCATATTGATGAATCTCATAGATTGCAAGTCTAAGCCACCTCTTGAGTTTGGTGGCTGTTACAATTATCTTATCCTCTCTCTCTCTCTTCCCATTTAATCATCCATTTATCTGATTATCAGTGATAAGACGCAAGTGGAGACCACAATAAATTTTCACTTAGAGAGAGGCCGGCAAGATTAAACTGAAGTGTTCTCTTGTAGAGGCAATTGTTTTTTTTACAAGACAAATAATACTATTAAATCAAAAGTCTATTAATTTATAGAGGCCATTGTATACTGGGTGAAATAGTAAACTTTCGGTTGTGGGTGATATGTGTGTGTGGGTTCGGTTGCAGCTCCTCTATTGTTAAGGGAAGACAACACCTTTGTGCTGTCGGCTAAAACGGCGTCATTTCAATAAAGGTTACACAGTTGTTGTGCCTTATGGTCCCGACAAATTAGTAACTCTCTAAGAGCAACTCCAAGAGGTTTAATAAATTCGTCTTCTTAGCTATGTTACATATGCAAACCATAGAACTGAACTCCAACAAACTAGCTATCACACTATGTATTTTCCATAACCTTCATTTGGCTAGTTATTCTTGACGACTAATGAAGGCTAGTTATCTAACAGACTGATGAAGGCTTCTTTGCACAACATCCCCTAGGAACTGAGAAGGCTTCATCGCAGAAGGCTTGCTCCATTGACTGAAGGAGCACCGATTGAAGGCTTGATCCACCGACTGAAAGCAAATATGGTCTCTCTTAGAAACTCTGGATTGATAATATCGTCTTCATCGCACTATATTGATCTGGGTCTGTTGATTTAGTTCTGTTGATCTGGGCGGTGGCCTTACAGTTTGCTGATCTGGGTGGTGTTGGAAGAGGTGGTGGCATCGTCTTCATCGCCAAGCTATGTAAAACCCCCTCCAAAAATCCAACAAAACCCCTTTAAAAATCCAACAAAATTCAGTAAATTTTTCCCAAAAATTCAGCAAAACTCCCAAAAAAAATCCAGCAAAATCCCTAAAAAATCTTAACTTCAGTTATTTATGTAATTTGAGGTGATTTTATTTTGAATTTTGTGATTTAATTTGAGAAGAATTTGATTTGGGAGTAATCATTTTTAGGAGGTGGGTTCTCTCTTTTAGCTTATAATTGCTTAAATTTGTACAATGTATAGTTGAATTGCTATTTTTTGAATTTTATTATTGAAAGTTAGTTGAAGTGGTTAATTAAAATAGATAGCGTTGTTGGAGTGAATTTGAAAAAGTGGTAAATTAAAGTAGATAATACAATATTTAAATACTTCATCCGTTCCATAATATCTATCATTTTACACATTTTTTTTATTTCGTAATATTTGTCGTTTAATGAAATCAAAGCATAATTAATATTTTTTTTTCCAAATTTACTTTTAACTTTTTAATGTATTAGATTAGGTGGAGGTTAAATGTCTTTCATTTTTTTTTTCTTCTCAATACGTATTGAATAAGGATATTTTAATCTTGTATAATTATTTTTTTAATAACTTCTTTAATATCTGTGCAAAAATCTTAAAAGACGTATACTTAAGAATTAGTCGTCGACTAGTTCAAATTGTCTGGGTGATAGCATCAACCTCTCAAGCAGCCGCCGAAAATACCCTAGTTGCACCTGCACCTGCTGCACAAAGAACAAACTCTCCGTCTACCACCCTAGCTCAGGGTATTTCACTTTCATTACCAATCCCTGGGAGAACAAGAGGACGAATCTTCTCCCTCATCTACACAATTTTCCCATGATTCAATTTCATCGGTCCAAGTCAAAAAAGATTGTCCCACTCAAACGACACAGTTTTATTGAAATTCAGGACGTTAAAACTTTCCTCCAAAAGTATTCTATCTGCAGCTCACCAGACATTATAACTCCCACAAATATCTGTCAAACATCACTGGCCTCTGGTGTTGGCAATATAGGGTATCACGATAGCCATATTTCAATTTCCACAATAAGTGTTTTGAGAGCGTTCCTATTGAAGTGTCTATTTGAGAATCGTTTGCGAGTTAGACATGACAGAGTTACAGGTGGATGATAGAAGCTGGATTGTAAGGTTTTTTGTACTAGGTTGATGGGTCGGGTTGTGAGGGGTCCGATGGTTTGTTGTTGTGAGGTAGGTTATGAGAGGATGTCAAGGATTTGGGTTTTGCAAATTATTTGTGGTGGGTCAGGGTATTTGAGTTGAGCACTTTGTGGTGTAGCAGAGAGGTGAAAGGTGGTTTGGAGGGCTTGATGATGAGATGGTGGGCGGAGGGTTGTAGTTGAGGTGGTGTCGCAAATATGGGAGAGACGGAGAAAGTATTCATTATAACAGTGATATCACGTGACAAGATGATGTGGTATCACCAGTCAATAATAATAAAACATATAAAAAGATGAATCCTATAAAAATTAGTAACTAACCTGTCATGTAAATAAATAATTTTTCACTCTTCTGTCATGTAAATTCAAATGGGGTTCACTTTTTTTATTTGGAATTTTATTATTGAATGGTTATACCGTATCATCAACGGTGACATGGTATCACCGTTACATTCAATATTTACTCGGAGAGACGGTTATTGAATAGACCTCTCTCTCTCTGGGCCCATTTAATCATCCGATTTATTTGATTATCAGTGATAAGACGTGGGCGGAGACCATAATAAATTTTCAGTTAGAGAGAGGCCAGCAAGATTAAACCGAAGTGTTCGCTTATGGAGACCATGATGGTTCCAAACATGAATTAATGGAATTCAATGATAATTTTTTTTTTTAACAAACGTATCAACTCGTCATTTAAATGGCTACACTTATAAATCAGAGCCGTTATACAATCTCTGAAAAGTGGAATGAATGACCATCCTATAGGTTATTGAGAATTTTTTTTTGCATCGCTGCTCTAAATTTTTTAGTTTTTGTTGATTTTCATACAATTTTTGGATTTATTTTTAACAAATATCTTGTTGGAACTTTTAAGGTTTGAGTTAGAACTTTTTTGGCCACTCGAGTTAGTGGTCTAGTGGTAAGTTATATCTATTTAGGGTTGTCTCTGACTTGCACCTAGTTATCAAATAGGATTCAATTCACGATAATCACACGGTTTATTACTTGATTTTGATAGTGTTGTGGTGACGGATTGTCTTTTTGGATTAATAATAATGACTCAAACCAAACCGGACATTCCATAATGGAGGACCTCATGGTCACATTCAGAGAAGTTACTAGCTACTCATCGTCCCTTCCATTTTTTGGATCATTGTAATCGATCTTAATATTTTTAAAATAATCCAAATTACAATAAAAGTCATAAATTCTGATTTCCCCCATCCTCCTCCTATTAAAACTGGGTCAAAACCCAAAGATATTTACCCAGAATCAATTAGTTGAACAACCGATGGGATTCGATGACCTAAAAGTTTTCACAGTCAAGCATTGTGGGAATCTCCCATCGCAGTCCATTATTACCTATTTTTCCATGAATTGCGGTAACTACTACTACCCAACATGCCTTCCTTTCGCTCATCTAAATACTCTCTCCTAAGTTTTTCTCTAATTTTCATTAATCATAATTACTTACAATGTAATTAGTGTTAGACCCATTCATACATCCATAACATTTTACTTAGAAGAGTCTTGATGGGTATATATATATATGTATCATTGAAAAAAAATTCAGTAAAGGTTCTTCAAATGGATGTAAATCATTTCTTCTTTCTACTATTTCCATATCCCTTATCATTTTTCCTAACAATAATCATGGTTTTTCGACAAATATCACCTAGAAGACAAATTCCTTTCAATCCACTTATTACTAGATGTTTTATTGTATAAATGTGAAATTTAACTTGACTATTTTTTAACTTAATTCACAAAAAATCATGTTGAGTGATACGATATTAAGAGAATTATATCATCTTTGAAATCAATTTGACGTTTAACAAGAGAAAAATTGAAGGAATTAGGCATTTCTTCTACTTGAAGACATTCATAAGTCTAATTGGTGAAGTTTTTTTGATAAGAAACAAAGAAGACAATTGCATATCTACAAGTGAATGCTTACCATTTATATCCAAGTAAATTCAAATTTTGTCAACTCAAAAAGGAGGAACGAGATTAAAATCATATTCCGAACATTTTTTTCTCTAGTATAATAGTACTAGATCACCCATCGGATACTGAATTAAAGATGACTGTTGAGAAAAATTAAGAAAAGATATATCAAAATATTCAAATTCGACAAACATAGATGCATTAATAAAGTTAAAAATTTGCAAAATAGAGCTCAAAAGCGGAGTTACATTTACTCATAGCACTCAGTAATCTCTAATGATCCACAACATCTACACTAGCAGAGCAAGAAAGCAGCCTCTGAAACATGGCACACAGGGCGGCCCAAGATACCTCCTTGACCCTTCTCGCCACCACACACTGCCTCCTACGGCCGGTAACCGCCCTCTTCCTCCCATGAGCCACCACCACCACTCTCTCTCTGACACGACCCAAACACTTCTTGGTCTTCTCAGGCACAGTCTCTTTCCTCGAAAACGTGTAGCTCCTAAGGTACATCTGCCTGCATGAGATACTGTCTACCACCCTTGGGTGGCCGTCGGAGGCTCCCACCGTCTTCACAAACTCGGCGTCGGACTCCGGCCACTTGTAGAGGTTGACGTAGGTGGCTCTGACTGGGACCCTTGTGTCTTTTACACAGTTTGATATACAGACTGAGCTCATCTCTTTGGGGGTTTCCGGTGATGGGTTTCAGATTTTATGTATTGGGTTTTCGGTTATAAATCTAACCAAGCCTTAGATTGCAAGAAATATGAGACAGAGAGAGAGAGAGAGAGAGAGAGTTTATGGATTTGAGTGATGTATGGAATAATTAAGCATCATTAGCAAGCAATGACTGTGTTTTAATTCTTTTTGTGCTGTTAGGAAAGAATGCGGAAAAAGAGCAAAAGTAGATACATTATTAACCCTGTATTTACGAATTTGCCTAAAACTTATTATCAAAGATCAAAAATTCCTTTTAAAATGGTTGGAATGGCCGAAATACATTTGTTTCTATGGAAACTAAAGTGAATCAATGATTAAAATTCTAATGTTCCTAGGTTGTGTTCCGAGATTTTTAGAATATTTTGAGGTATTTTCAGTAGATTTTAACATGTTTTCACTAATGTTTCAAAATATTTCAAGGTGTGTCAAGATATTCCTATCATATTTTGACCAATGTTTTGAGATATTTCGAAAATAAACTCGCATTTTTTTTCCTATTTTTTTTCTGTTTTTAAAATATTTTTGAAATGATTTCATTTTTTAAGTAACCAAAATAATGCATCAAAATAAAATTTTAATCTTTGCTTATTATTGATAAAATTTTCGAGAAATGATCAATAGAACATACTTTTCTCATTGAAACGCTGTAAAATCCTGTAATATCTTTATTAGATAAAATTTTTGAATTTCTCCAATTGCCAATGACATGGTGATATGCTACGTAGTATGTTAGATTTTAAATATTAATAGTTAGTTAAAATAGAAAGAATTGTTAGAATAAATTAGTAAATGTAATAAAAAAATATATTTTACCTATTATCTTTGAAGTTGTTGTTAGTTCCCGCCATATAACAGTCGCTCCTCAAGGACACTTGCTTCTCAAGGTTCATTGATACTCGCTTCTCAAGGTTCACCGAATCTCTCATTTCCAATTTCGTCGTTTAGGTGTTTATGGTTCTCTAAATCTCTCATTGATTTTAATTATTGTTTAGGTAATCCAGCGTTCTTGATTGATCACTACTGGTTCAAGAACAATTTACTATTCAAGTATTCTTAGTTCGACAAATCTCTTACAAATTTTCAATTTCTTTGTCTGGCATTCTTGGATTCTCTTCACTGATCGCTGGTTGCATGCATTACCGCCCTCTCTCTCTCTTTCTCTTAGTTGTTTGATATTGTACATTTCTGTGAAACAAATCTCTCAATATGATAATTTCAACACTTAAATTTACCATTAACCTAATTTTGAGCAAATTGGGATCAATTCACTCTTGTAAGTCTTTGAAATACAAATTTTCAATTTCTTTGTAAGGCATTCTTGGATTCTGGTTCAACACGATACCGACTCTCTCTCTCTCTCTCTCTTAGTTGTTCGATATTGTACATTTCTGTGAAACAAATCTTCCGATTTGACAATTTCAAGACTCAAATTTACCATTAACCTAATTTTGAGCAAATTGGGATCAATTCACTCTTTTAAGTCTTTCAAATACAAATTATCAATTTCTTTGTTAGGCATTCTTGAATTCTGGTTTAACACGATACTGACTCTCTCTCTCTCTCTCTCTCTCTCTCTTAGTTGTTTGATATCACTATTGATCTTTGTACGAATCTTTCAATTCAAATTTACCATTAACCTAAATTTGAGCAAATTGGGATCAATTCACTCTTTTAAGTCTCTGAAATTTCTACATTCAATCTTTGAACAGCAATGGCTAAAAGCAACCGTCCGTGGATGTACAACAATAAAAAGAATAAAACTAAACCAGTGGCAGCAGCTACGGAGGAACGCACTGAATGCACCACCTGCCAGGGATCATTCCCAGACATGTCAATGATGGAATTTACCCATCATGTCATCAATTGCCGACAACAAGTAATCTTTATGCACATTATCTGTTAATCCAGTAAAAAACCTGTTTTTTGTTAAACTAAACTTAAAACCATAAATTCATATCCAACAGGCCAAGAGAGTTGCAAAGAAGACAGAGGAGGCTGCAAAAGAGAAAAAGCGAAGAAGACAGAGAAAAAGAAGTAGGTAAAATGTACTTGACTGTCAATCTAGCAAAATGGCATACGACTTGAACTTGCAATAGACACAATAATGCTGGGTGATTTTTATTTTCTTTTGAACACCCGCTGACCCGGTCTCTTTCCCGGGTTTATGTCCAGTCCGCTTTTTAAAACTATGTTTCCTACTGCTCATTTTTTTCTTAGAATCTCTTTCTTTTTTTTGGAAGGTCAATAGAATCTCTCTTACTAAGAAAGAAACTACACTTAGTGCAAGAGGATTGTGGATATTAAGGATGTGATAAATTCCATAATTGCATGCTAAAAAAATGTTTTCCCTTTTATAAACAAATGGCCACACAAATCAAATGGTAGTAAGAAAGGAAGTACAGAACACCACATCCACTAGTACCCTATACAAAAAAATAGCAACAAAAGAAGAAAGTTTGACTTAGGCAGAAAATCAGAAGTCCTTGTAGCATTGGGGGTATTGAAAAAACGAAATTCGGCTTGGATTTTTTCACGCCTTGTTTCATTCAAAAACATTAAAAAAAAAAATCAGAGGAGAGGACTGGATTATCCTTCTTAGGAATACTTGGGCAGAACAACACGAAACAATAAAAAAAAAGTGTAACATCCCAGATTCTCGTCTTCAAGAAAAGTTTTTCCAGTTAAATACAATTTGTTCTTTCATCAAAAAAAAAAAACTATACAATAATCTAAAATCAAACCTTCCAAGCGAGATCTGCTGAAAACTCCTTCGATTATCTGAAGTCGTGTCCTTTTGATGTCCCAAATGATATCTCCAAAACAAATGCTAACAGCCCCTATTTTTGGCTTGAGAGAGAAGGGAAGGGAGGAGAAAGAGACAATAGAACACAAAATTAGTGGATCGGATCAATTCATAAAAATCTGTTTTACATTAAAAAACAAAAAATACATAAATAAATAAAAGAGAAGCAAATATCAAACCTTCCAAGCCAGATCTAACGATGCCCCAAATGAAATCTCAGAAAATATACAATGAAATCACCAAATCAAATATCAACCTTGGCGAGATAGAATAGACAGACAGACGGAAGACCTTTGAAGAGGGAAGAACAGAGGAGAGAAGCGGAGAAGAGAGATGCAATAGGGTTACAAAGTTATCAATAAAGATCGGGAGAATTATATTGAGCACATCATGTAGTCATTTAGGACCCCTACTATTTAAAATATTATACACAATTCTCAAAAATTGTAGGTACGTAACACTTAGATCCCTTCTATCAATGTCAATTATTATATCCGTCAATAAATTATACTCAGAAATTTATAAGCATATAATATTTAGACCTTTAATATTTAAAATATTATATTTAGATAAAAAGTACTGTAATTAAAGATAGAATATTAAATATTTTTAAATTTTACAATTAAAATTTATATTTTATTATGACATTTATTGAAATAAAATCAAAAATAAAAATTTAATTTTCTCTTAAAAAATCATAATTAGTATATAATTATACTATCTATTGAAATTTAATTTGATTGTTTAAACGATTAAATGAAACTATCAAATTACCCCAATTAATGTAGAAGATATTGTGTTTATTATAGTTTAACCTCTTATTTGATTTTTTAATTTTATTTTAATACAGATAGCATAATTGCATTTCAATTATGATTTTTAAGATAAAATTAGATTTTTTTTGATTTTATTTTAATAAATAACATAATATAACATAAATTTTAGTTGTAAAATTCATGTTCTATTATGAATGACTTAGACTCTTTATTTGATTTTTTAGTTTTATTTTAATCGATAATATAATTGTATACTAATTATAACTTTTTAAGAAAAAATAAAATTTTTAATTTTAATTTTATTTCAATAAATGATATAATAAAATATTTGGTTGTAAATTTTATAATATTTGATATTCTATATTTGATTAGAGTATTTTTAGTGCAAGTACAATATTTTAAACTTGAAAGATCTAAATATTATACGTTTATAAACTTTAAGGGGTCTAAGTATAATTTACTAATAGATATACTAATGGACATTAACGGACATTGACGACAGGATCTAAATGTTATTCGCGTACAAAATTTAGGGAATTTTTGTACAATATTTTAAATATCATGGGAACTAAATGATTCAATGACAAATTTTAGGAGGTCTCAACATAATTCACCCATAAAGTTCTTTGATCTTATTAATTTGTCAATTTAATTAGACAGACCCTTCACGGTTGATATATTACATTGACACTCCATAATAATAATAACTTCCGGTAGAAACCAACGAAAGTGACAAAATGACTAAATTCTTCTCACAAATAACCTAAACAAAACAAACTTGGATAACTTAACCCAACTACCAAACAACTCCAACCACTCCTCAAACATCTTTTTCATAAAAATACAGTTGTCTTCTCTTTCAAAAATTACAGAGCTACCTCCACTAGGCAATCCCAGGCCACCCCTATCACCACAAAAGGTTCTGGAATCAACATATCACAAAGAATAGTTGCACTTTCTTGTGAAGTCGAAGTGCTACTTTGCGTCTCTTAAGTTCTTGTTCTGTGTTCTTAAGATTCTTTTGATTTTGTGTTCTTGATTCTGATGGAGATTATTTTATTGGTTTGATTTAGTTGTTTTTAAGGCCCTGCCTACACACACTCTCTCTATGAATATGGATGAATTGTGTAGGCAAGGAGAAACAACCACCACCTTGGTCCCTACTCTCCCATCTTTCACCATCCCTCCCCCATCTCTGTCTCTAATATATATAAGAACTGTGGAGTGAATGAGGAATATTGTTGATAATTTCTGCATCACCACTATCAACTGTCCTCTACCCCTCTCATCCCTTTTTATTGACCTAATAATTAATTTTATAAAATTGTTTGTGTTCGAAATAAGACCCAACTCCACCACCCCAAACATCTCACACAAAGACTAGTACACCATAAACCCAACAAAGCCATGAGTGAGTCGTGGTGGAGGGCATGTGTTGTTGTTTGGATGGTGGAACATGTGCGACATGAATGCATTGGACCACGAGTGAGTGGTGGTGGAGACTAGTGTACCCTAGTTTGGATGTGTGATGCGTGTGTTTGCGTAGAAGAGAGAGATGGCTGGCCTTCTCGACGCAAGGGTTAGTGGTTTTGCTAAGTTGTGAAGGGAATGAATTTTTTTTTAATTGATGAGTTGGAAATTGAGTGGGTTCGGGGTGGCCAATGGGAGCATGTTAGGTTTCAGTAGGATGGTGGTGGTTTGTAAATTGTAATGAGGGATTAAATGAGAATTTAAAAACTATTATGTGTAAAAGGATTTTAGATTAAAAATATGTTGATGCTATTAATTTTTTACGACATTTCTAACGACAAGAATGTATGTGTACATACTTTCAAGTNCTATCACCACAAAAGGTTCTGGAATCAACATATCACAAAGAATAGTTGCACTTTCTTGTGAAGTCGAAGTGCTACTTTGCGTCTCTTAAGTTCTTGTTCTGTGTTCTTAAGATTCTTTTGATTTTGTGTTCTTGATTCTGATGGAGATTATTTTATTGGTTTGATTTAGTTGTTTTTAAGGCCCTGCCTACACACACTCTCTCTATGAATATGGATGAATTGTGTAGGCAAGGAGAAACAACCACCACCTTGGTCCCTACTCTCCCATCTTTCACCATCCCTCCCCCATCTCTGTCTCTAATATATATAAGAACTGTGGAGTGAATGAGGAATATTGTTGATAATTTCTGCATCACCACTATCAACTGTCCTCTACCCCTCTCATCCCTTTTTATTGACCTAATAATTAATTTTATAAAATTGTTTGTGTTCGAAATAAGACCCAACTCCACCACCCCAAACATCTCACACAAAGACTAGTACACCATAAACCCAACAAAGCCATGAGTGAGTCGTGGTGGAGGGCATGTGTTGTTGTTTGGATGGTGGAACATGTGCGACATGAATGCATTGGACCACGAGTGAGTGGTGGTGGAGACTTGTGTACCCTAGTTTGGATGTGTGATGCGTGTGTTTGCGTAGAAGAGAGAGATGGCTGGCCTTCTCGACGCAAGGGTTAGTGGTTTTGCTACGTTGTGAAGGGAATGAATTTTTTTTTAATTGATGAGTTGGGAATTGAGTGGGTTCGGGGTGGCCAATGGGAGCATGTTAGGTTTCAGTATGATGGTGGTGGTTTGTAAATTGTACTGAGGGATTAAATGAGAATTTAAAAACTATTATGTGTAAAAGGATTTTAGATTAAAAATATGTTGATGTTATTAATTTTTAACGACATTTCTAACAACAAGAATGTATGTGTACATACTTTCAAGGGTTTTAATATAATATATCAAACATGAGGGAATATGTCTGGTGAAATAACAAACCTTAGAGGTGTGGATGTAATTGTGACTTTTAATAACCTTTTGTCTGACAAAAAAGGAATCCCATTTAAGGTGATTAGATTTTTTGTGACCGGTTGAAACATCCGATGTGTACTTCAGTTTTAAACGAAATCGTGGCCCTGGGATTCAACGTAAAATACACGGCCCAGATCTTTCTTTCTGATGATGTGTTGCGTGTAAAATACCATTTTTCGCACGTACTACGAGGAGACTCTGACTTATGAGTTCACGTGTTAATGTCCACCCGGGTCTGGTTCCTCTACATTCCCCCAAAACGGCACTGGTTGCAGTTCGCACCAAAATGATGCCTTTTTGCTTTGTTCGATATAAATGATGAAAAATATGAGAGGTATATTTTTTATTATTTGTGTTTTGTGGTAGGAATAATTGAAAGTAGGAATAAAAAAAAATAAGAATGATATATTTTTTTTCCTTTGTATTTGATTACATAGATG